TCAATGCCTTCAATCCTCCACCCATTGTTTACAACACAACCTTCCACTTTCACCTGCAAATTCATATCACCGATGTTTAATATGAAGATACAACAGGACCATTCCACTGTTTTTAAACCATAAGATATATGCTGCATTTWTCAGAACTTGTATTCTAATCTTTAATACAAGTTGTTAAAAATGCTCACATACCTCTGCATCATCAACACAATCAACAATAAGAGCTCCATCTAATGAGAGGTCTTCGATAAGAATGTTGCCACCCTTGATGACCAATGTAGATTTTTGAGAAACTGAATTGTTTCCTCTCACTTTGCTTTTAACATCAGCAAACGTGACTGCCCATTTTGGTTTCCACACGATACGTGACCACACTTCCACCTCTTGACCATTAAAGACTTGCGTAATTGGGTCATCTACCTTCACACCTACCTGGAGACACACATAAGAAACTGGAAACCATCAGAAAACCGACACTGATTCAATATCAGATAACTTGGTTCACAGGGAGGGGTGGTTATTCAATGAACCATATAAATTTCATTGGGGAATAACCCACTCAAACCCATGATAAATCGCAAACCCAAGACTTGTCCAATGACTCACTAAGTGGCATGCTACGTAAAGTGTACTAAGAAACTAGCAGGGGCACAAGAATGTTAAAGAATTCTGAGCAATTGTTCAAATTTTGCTGACCTTTCTTAGAATCATGCTGTTTGCTCGATTAAATTGCCATTTCTCCAGAAGTAGCGCTGTGATATGGATTTCCCTTAGGTACCTTCAATTCATGTCAAGCAATTGTCAATGAGAAAATAGGAAGTCCGTACGGTTAAAAGCTTCATCCCTCACAAGAATAGCAACTAGAAAACATACGTCAAACAGATGCTCATTAACCTTTCATTTGTTATTTATTTCAGATATACAGTTACCTGAAATCCATTTTTCCTCTTGCAAAGCTTTGCTTAATGAATTTGACAAACATTTCATTTTAAATGTAATCTACAATGAGAGTAAAATAAGTACCTTTGCAGCATCCTCGGCGTTGTTCTTTACAGGTGCATAAGCAAGCCATGTTTCTGTCACCTAAGAAGTTAGAAAATACAGTAAAGGCGTTAAAATTGTTAGATATACCAGCATTAATCGAGGTTGCCCTCATCTGGCATGCCATTTAACACATTTTGCTTGACTATATATCCTCCTTCGCCTAAAAACATCGAGAATACTAATTAAGCCAGAGAACCCGCATGCAATATACAACTTTCATGACCCGGTGGAACCTTTTTCTTGTTCTAGCAATTGTTTTAAGTTTCATAAACTAAACTGCAATGCTCCTTTAAGTTAGCAATTATAAGATCCAAAAGGTGGGCCAATAAAAAAAAATACTTGTCGATTACAAAGTCAAGATAGCAAAATGACATGAGGACCAAACACAAGAACTTTTAAAAAGATTAATTTGATACTATATCGATATATTTTTTAAAATATTTTTAAATTTATATTTTATTTAAAAATAAAAACATTATCGTAGTTGAGGGTGCTTCCCCCATGGTTCCTCTGTTTCAGGGAGTAGTGGAGTTAGATGGGCTTGTGCGAGAAAGGTCACGGATAAATGTTGATATAAAGACCTATTCTAAACGGTTTATTATATTATTATAAAATATTTTATATATTATCTCTAAAAAAATTACGTTTTTGGTCCATCTGGTTATTAAAGATTGTGATTTTCGTCCATATTATTTAGAAATTACGTTTTCTATTTCTGTTATTTATAATTCATTGTTATTTTTGTTCTTATGAATTGTGATTTATTATTGTTTGGTATCTATGATTTATAACTATTTATTGTTTAAGTCTCTTATTTTAAAAGATAGAAATTAAAGAGATAAAATTAGCAATAAATTGCAAACTATAAAAACAAAAGCCTTAACTTTCATACCGTAAGGACAAAAATTGTAAATTTAAAACCATAGAAACGAAAAGTATTATTAACAAATCCCCTGAACCAAAATTATGATTTGTTTTTATAAAAATATTATTCTCAAGCTATTAAGGTCATCAAGATAAAGTTTTAATTTACAATCACATCTTTTCTTTTTTAAGCATACATTATTTATATACAGTAAAATAGAACAAATAAACTCACATACCCTCTACACATTTGATGAAGTTTGAACTTTTGACTAACTAGGAGACCAATGACTAATAAACCGCTAAGTCAAAGGCCCTTTGGTTACACCATCACATCTTTTTGAATGGAAATGGTAAATAGCAGCAAATTTTGATATACCATAACGTAAAGTTAAGGTTTATGATCAAATTGGTCCATTGCAATTCTAAGTTTAAATCGTGGTCAACAAGAATAAAAAGAAAAAAATAACTTAAAGTTTATATAGATGTTAACATAGGTATGTCTCAACAATTCAATAAAGCTGAAAACATTTCAATTTCCAGATCGAAAATATAGTATTGGAGTAAGCTTTGTTTTATGGATGACCTGACTAAGCAATCAAAATGATATCTACATTTGGGGTTTGCGATTTAGTATGGCAAAAATAGTTCAAAATTTATCAGTAAAACATAATTTTTCAATTTATTTTTAGAGTAAATTACAATTTTCATCCCTGCGGTTTAGAAAGTGTGATCTTTATTGTCGGATGTGATCTTTATTGTCGGATGTGATCTTTATTGCCGGAGTTAGGCCTTTGTATGACGGATTGATTGATAGTAGGATCAATGATGTTTAGTTTCATTCAGGATCGACATGCCCCAGGTTTGAAGAATTCGATGACAGGCCTTCGCTGCAAAAGATCCCGGAATTGGTCGATTCGGAATCGGCTGGATTGGAGGAATCCGGAGCCACAAGGATCTTCAACGGGTTCGAAAGTCTTTTGATTCCAGGCGGCCGGCCCAATTCTATGGGCTTCGCTATAATTCGAACCGGCATTTCCTTTGATAGATAATTGTTTGTAATTTATTGTTATTTTTGTTTTTGAATTAATTCATCCATTTAAGTATGAGGGGCCAAAAGACGAAAAAATCTGCGGTGAAACATGTCTCTGGTATCAATTGAGGTTGTGAAGCGATCGATTTCATTTGTTATTGGGTGTTTTTTTCCTTGATCGGTTGTTAATCTTGAACAAGAGTTATTTTTTCTTAATTTTTTAATTTAGATTTAGATGGATCAAGGTGTATTTATGGGTTTTGCGAAGGACATCGGGATGTATCAAGGTCTATTTCTTGCTGCCAACCCTATAGTGATACACTATTTTGCATAGGGTTTTTCTAACCCCACCCCCTCCTATCGGTGCATGTGAGGGGGGTGAGATTGTGTAGGGGGTGAGTATGTGAGGGTGAGGGTGAGGGAAAGGTGTAAGGGTAAGAGTGAGGGTTGGTGTGAGGAGGAGGGGGTGAGAAGTGACGTAAGGGGGTGGGGATATCAACCCCCTTTTGCATAATGTGATGCAAAGTTTATCATAATCTGTTTTTGGCTATATCTTTTTTTTAACACTATGCATCTTGGGATATCACATTGTGCATATTATATATATACTAGATGCGTACTCGCGCAATGCAGCGAGATACATCGTGATTTTAATATTTCATTTTATTCTTTATCTCAGTCGATGTTATAATATGACTTTATGTGATTTTAA